AAAAAAAAAAAAAAAAAAAAAAAAAAAAAAAAAAAAAAAAAAAAAAAAAAAAAAAAAAAAAAAAAAAAAAAAAAAAAAAAAAAAAAAAAAAAAAAAAAAAAAAAAAAAAAAAAAAAAAAAAAAAAAAAAAAAACATTAGAAAGACATACAGGAAGAAGTGTGATAATTATGTCTGGCTTGGAAAAAAATCCCAATAAGTAGTGCTGTATATCTAGAGCTGAGAACATTGCTCCTGGTTGTTCTTGCTGTAGTTGAAGTTGCCAGAGTTATAATAATACTTCCCTGGATAAACGAATTTTATTATATTTCTACAAGCATGGAATTGTGGGGTTTTTTGTTTGTGGGTTTTTTGTTTGTTTTGGTTTTTTTTTTTTTTTTAATGGGGGAGTTGTTTTTGCATTTTAAAGGGACAGCTTATAGTTACTTTTTATTTTGAATTCTATAAACACACAATTTTTTTTTGAAAAGTCACAAAGCAACAGGACAAATTATGAGTATATATATATGTATATATATACACCTCTGAACATGATCTGCCCTTTGTACTTAAAAAGTGAACCAGCAGGGTTCTGACAGAGCCAACAAAATAACACTTTTTCCCAGAAGCGGAGTGGTAACAAACTGGTAAATTCAGGAACTGATGATGCCAGTTCAAAAGCAACACAAACTTTCAAGTGCCACGATTTAGGAAGGCTTTAAAAGTAACCTTGAGGAAGACAGTTACTAGAGATATGTTAAAACAAAAGTATTTAGAAAACTGAAGAAAGTCAAAGAGTCACACTAATTTCTTGTGTAGCAGAAACTCTGGTAGCTGTAAGGATATCTAGAATTTTTTTTTCTTTTCTTTTCTGTTTGTGTAGTCACACACACAGACAGATTTGAGCTGAAGAAGTGGCACAGGGAAAAACAAAACCAAACCAAAAAAAGAAAGAAAGAAAGAAACAAAAACAAACAAAAATAACCAAAAAAAAAAAAAAAAAAAAAAAAAAAAAAAAAAAAAAAAAAAAAAAAAAAAAAAAAAAAAAAAAAAAAAAAAAAAAAAAAAAAAAAAAAAAAAAAAAAAAAAAAAGAAAGGAAAAAAAGGAAAAAAAAAAACCAAACAACCAAAACTCTAGTTTAAGGAATATGAACATGAACAAACACCTCTGCTTAGTATTCTGTCCCTACTGGTTTCTGCAGCAGCCAAGCCCTCTAGAAGACATTGTATGGTATTAGCAAAGCCCACAAGTGGAGATTCCTTGGTACTAATACTAGAAACACTTCATTTTCAGATATGTACAACACTCAGATGGATTCTTAGACTTTAAAGCTACTGGGACTCTTTTCTGATCTGTTCTGCATATCTGTTTCCTCTCTGCCAAAGGCACCTGGGCCATATATGAAAATTAATAGTAGAGGCAAATTAGTAGAAAGAAAACACTTTTAAGTGAGGGAACTGAATTAGAGTTCAGGAAGATAGCAATAAAGAAAGAAACAAAACCAAACAGGAAAACACAAAGTCTTATATTTAGGTAGAGATTAAAAAAGGGTTACAAACAAGCACACACAGGTATTTTGTGCTGCTTATTCAGATCAGCTTTTATAAAAATAGCTTAAATACACTGTGTACACCTGCTCCAGTTTTTGTTTGCCTTTATAGCTTTTAAGTGGAAGAAGCACCAGCAGATGTGGTAAGAATAATTCTTCTGGGTGTCTGTGGCTACAGCAAAAGACAGAATCATACTCATCTCTCCTCTTGATCCAGCCCAGCTTCTTGTGCACTGAGCAACAGTTTTGTAAGAGAGGAAAGTGTTATTTGGTCTAATGGTGGCACTAAACTCTCTAAACGCACAAAAACACTTTCTCTCTCTCTCCTCCGAAAAATTACCTGGGGTTTAGCACCCCTGCATGCTTTGCCAGCTGAGCATGCCTCAAGGTGTCACTAAGCTGTTTCATGTTTACCTGCAGTGCTGTTCCAGCCTCCTGGAACTACGAGAAGCCTCATTCCCAACTCAGAGTTCCAGGGAGGGCTGAGAGGCACCTGGGGGCGAAAACACTTGCAAAAAACCCCAAAGCTTCACAAGTTGTTTTTCTTAGTCAGCTTCCTCACTTCAAAAGGTGTGCTGGAAAGCAAACCACTGGATGAGTGCCAGGGTGGTGCAGCAGTTACTGTACCTGACACAGGACCAGCTGCATCCTTGTCGCTGTTTTTCTCCGTGCCTGCGGAAGTCGGCGCATCTTCCTCTCCCTCACGTAAGCCCTTGGGTGATTTTTCCTCCATAACAAGGCAGCCTACAGAAGACACAGCCCTTACAGCTCAGTGAATGCACAGACTTCAGCACATCCAAGAGTTCCAGAGCAAAAAAAACTTTGCACCTCTGAGCCCCGAGCGAAGGACTTACCCCCCGTCACTGGTGCCGCGCCTTCCACAGAGGACCCAAGAGCTTCTTGGGCTGAAGAGAGGTGATCGCTGCCAAAGCAAAAAAACTCTTTCAGATACTCGTGCACATTCTACACCCTCCATAAAGGCTTCTAAATTTTGCACAAGAGCTGACCTGGATGGGATCAGACCGGCTGGTAGCGTTGAGTCCGCACGGTCAAGCTTCAGGGAGAGAGAGAAGAGTTAAGTGTCAGGGAGAGGTTTGCCATGCCAGTATAAAATTTCTGTGTCAAAGCTTCAATAGTTTCCCCAGCTGGGCCTAAATTATTTCAGCAGTGAAGAACTAGATGGGAAATGCCCACAGATTCACCCTCTGTTCTAAAGCCACCCATAATAGATACAGTGAGTAGAGTTTAGCTCATTATCGTTACTAGGAATGATCACTATATTTCCTCAGAACTCTTATCTCAGGGATATCATAGAGATTGTATTTTGGTTCCTGACTTCATGGTTTGCTTCTAACGCACATTTTCTAATTACCAGGGCACCACTGTTCCATCTTAATGTTGTGTATCAAGAGATAACCATTTTGAAGGCCTTGCCCTCAAACCCTACAAGTGAGGTGCACTGAGCTTCACTTGGCTGTAGGTACCAGACTCATCCAGGTAAATAAAAGCAGTTAACAGTAACAGCATGACCAAGCAGATGGTTCAGAACACAGAAAACCTGTACATTGTGTTGTACATTTTAGTGCCACTCTTTGAATAACTCCAGTTTTACAACATTATATATATATAAAAATTCTCCAGCCCCTTCAGAGGGCCCTGGGCTTCCTCCTTGGTGTGCAAACAGCAAAAAAGAATGAAGCAGTTAAATGTGGGTACATGTTTTTTCCTCATGTTCCTTTATGCTGCTCCAGTGTGGTTCTGGACCCGAGTCTTATCACATCACAGACAAAACCAATATCCTGTTTGGTCTTTTAATGTACCAAGGGAGGCAATGCAGGGGTACTATCCCTCTTCCTCATTCTATCCTGGATAATTCCAGCTGGCTTATTCGTGTTGTTAAATTGATTTGTCTTTACGGATCAAAATACAGGGTGAAAAAGTGAGGTTTAAAGGTTTGAGTTGGTAATGAGTTGTGATGAACTGCACCCACTGTGGAAGAGAGGTGTTGAATAGATTTAAAAAAAAAAAACCAAACCAAAAAAACCCCAAAAAACCCAAACAAACAAAAAAAACCAAGAAAAACAAAACAAAACAAAATAAACAAACAAAAAACCAAACAAAACCAAAACAACCCAAAACCTCTCTCCAAGCAGCGAAGGTGTGAGGCCAGGCCAGCTCCCTGTATAGCAAGTCCAAGAGCTCTATTGATTGAGTGTGGGAAGCCAACAGAAAAACCATGTTTTGGTATCATTTCTCCCCTTAAAATATCCTAATAGGACCCAGGAAACCCAGCAAAGTAGAGCAGGAAGAGTCCAAGCCCCCTGGTCACCTCTGAGAGCAACCAACTACTCCGAGCACCAGTAAGAGCCTTCTCTTCCCTCCTCACTCCCCCCACCATCAGAGCCTTGTCCCAGCCAGATGGATCCTTCCTCTAATGCAAATTCAGGCTATTTTTATTAGTATTTGAATGCTCTCTCAAAGCTGAAGGAAGTTCAGCACTGCTTTTGCTTTGCTCAGGCTGCTGGGTCTATGGCAGTGCTGGGGAAGGAGGAGATGGAAAAGAAGACAGAAGAAATCTAAAGGGCTTTTTAAAAACTGATACACAGCACCCAAATAAACAGAGAGCCCCCTGCATCACCCTGGGAGCAACTAAAACGATTCATTACTCTCCATGCCCTCTCCCTCGCCAGCCACTCACATGGTCAGTGGTTTCTGTTTGCAGTAAAAGAAAATCCTCGATTCGGCGTTTTGAAAATACTATTAAGGATTGTGTATTCCCATAGATTACACTTAAAGGAAAAAAAAAACCACCCAAAACAAAACAAGAAAAGCCCACATTTTAGATT